CCCCAAAACCCCAAAACCCCAAAACCCCAAAACCCCAAAACCCCTTTCTTTGGTTGGGTAGTTGAAATTAAGTACCCATCCTCCTATTTATAAATAGGATAAATATTTAAGAACAATTAAAATGTCAGAGAACACTTCAAGCATGAATCAGACAAACGCAAGCTCAGCCAGACAAGCTTTCTCTTTTGATAATCCATTGTATGATTTAACACTTTATGCCGGAAGATTCAAAAGCGTATGGGCCTCAACAAATCCTCTCTTGTTCTTAGTTACAAACAAGCAGATTAAAGATGCTGAACAAGTGTTGAGTCATTACAAAGAAATGGAAAATAAGGCAAAGAAAAGAGGAGAGTCCATGATGCTATCTCAAGAAGAGATTACAAACATTAAGAAGAGTGATAGCATTGTAAGATCCTCAGTTCATCCAGATACTAAGGAAATAATCCCTCGCTACATGAGGTTTTCTGCATATCTATATGCAAACATCCCAATCAACTTTGGTTTCCTCTTGACTGCTCCAACCACTTTCAATATCGCCTTATGGCAGTGGATCAATCAGACATACTATGTAGGAGTTAACTATGCCAATAGGAATGCTGCTTCTAAATTCTCAAATCAAGATCTTGTGCTTTCTTATTTTGGTGCAGTCATGGCTTCAATTGGTGTCGGGCTTGGAGTGAAAAGGTTCATTGAGCCTTTTAAGAACAGTTTCACTGGAAGCAAAGCCTTCTTCTTCATGTTCACTATCTCATTCATTGCAAACTCAGCAGCTAACGGGACTAACCTCCTCATTATTAGAAGCAAAGAGTTCAAAAATGGAATTCCTGTTACTACTGAAGATGGTGAAGAAGTAGGAATCTCTCAAAAAGCAGGAAGAAGTGCAGTGTTACAGACAGCCTTCACCAGATGTATCATGCCAGTCCTCCCATTGGGAATCCCCACTGTGTCATTCTTCATTTTGGATAAACTCAGACTGATTCCTCAAAACAATATACTAAAGATACTTCAGCAGACTTTTGTTTTCTCATACTCGATTATGTTTGCTCCTGCTATGGGATGAGCCTTCTTCCCACTGATTGTAAGAAGAAACGTGAAAGACTTGGAGCCTGAATTCCATAACTTAAAGGACAAGGATGGTAAACAAATCACTGAACTATTTTTCAACAAAGGTTTGTAAGGAATAATAAACACTCTTACATCAATAAGATTTCAACGATAAATTAATTACAAGGGGTTTTGGGGTTTTGGGGTTTTGGGGTTTTGGGG